GTCGCCGGCATCTGCAGGGCCAGGACCAGGGAGGCGACGTAGCAGCCAATCATGTAGTAGCCAAACAGGACGCCGACCTTGTAGTGCGTTCTATCCAGCTTCCAGATCATGCAGCAGCCGATAATGGTGGGGATGAGCCACACCGCCATGACGGTCGTGCGCTGGTTACGGAACTTGGATGCGGTGTAAGCACCCGTGAGAATCCAAAAGACCTGGAAGGCGCCCTGCGGGATTCCCAGCGCCGTGGTCAACAGCGGGTCAGTGACGAGCCCCTTGATGATGAGCTTGCCAAAGTTGGCCACGCCGCCGTTGATGACCTCGTTGAGCAGGACGAAGAGCGTCAGCAGCCAGACCTGGGGGTCGAGGCAGGCCTCCTTGACTTGGTACCACTTGATGGTCTTGTTAAGGACGCCCGTCTTTGCGAGACGCGCGCGGCCGACGAGGAGGGCCCGCTCCTCGAGGGAGAATCTCTTGGCGCTCAAGATGCTGTCTGGGAGGAAGACGAGGAGCAGGCCGCCCCATACAACGGTGATGCCGCCGCAGATGAGGAAGACGGCCTTCCAGACGGGGAAAGAGTCGATTTGGCCGATGCCGTAGCTAAGAACGCCGCCGAGCATGCTGCCGACACCGTTGCAGCAGTAGAAGAGTCCTGCTCGCATGGGCTGTTCCGATCGCACGTACCTTGGTGCACGCGTTAGGACAATGTCGACATACCGAGGGGGCCAGATGTCGAGACTTACCACATGGAAACCATCATCATGAAGCACGTTGTGATAGGGGCCTCAAAGACTCCAAGGAGGAAACGGCACGCAGCAAGTCCCGGGAAGTTGGAGCACGCAGCCGTGATCATCAAGACGGAACCCCACGACAGCACACACCCCGCCACGACCTTGCCCATGCGCGTCTTCTGCGCAATGTAGACCCACGGGTACTCGGCAACCAGGTAGGCCAGGTAAAAGATACTCGCAAACCACGAGTACTCGGTCTGCGTAACGCTCGTGCTGGAAAAGAGATCAAAGACGGCGGCGTAGGACAGCGCCTGCTTGTCAATGTACTGCAAGACGTAGGTGCCGGCCAGGAGAGGGAGGATCATGAGGTCAATCTTGCGGACCAGGCGACGGTTCTTCTCCTTGTCGTTGACGAGCTCGGCGAGATACTCTTCTGTGATATTATTCTCCTGGAGAAAGGCCTCGGACTCGTCGAGGTGCGCGACCTCGCCCGTCGTGAAGGACTTTGTCGGCTCGAGGCCATCCTCGGCGACCTTGATGTCTTTGGACACTTTCTCGGTCATTGTTGTCGATGTAGGCGGGGAACTTCGAAAACAAAGACTTAAACAAGGTGAGGGTGGTGATCCTGAGAAGAAGGAGATTCAAAGATGAAGCCTCCCTACTACTTTTCCAAGGGTTTCCCGTCTCTCTGACGAGAGGGATAACTCCTTTAATGTCTCATTGCCAATTGGTCATTATCTCGACAACCCTGACCACGCCACGCTACCCAGTCCGGGGTAAACAACTAGGTAGATAGGTATGATAACGCGGAGGCCCAGGAGTCCGTCAATGGGACGTCTTATCTGAACCCAGATCCATATAGAACCACATTTTACGGGCGACGTTATCCGCAAGACTGGGAACTTAGCTGGGTACACAAGGAAACAATGGCAGTTGGCTATCGCGGGGAAGTCGTGCCGGGGGGGTCCCATGAGTCGGGGCCCGTCCGATAGCACAAGTCGGACGGGGGCTGATAAGCCGGGAACGGGGGACATTTGTTGACTCTATTCAACTTGTCGAAAGTCGAAAGGGGGAGTCCGGCGCCCAGATCTGCGTCCGAAAGCACGTCTCGCCGAAATCGGCCGTTTCGTCCCCGCGGGAAAGCCCCGGTATCAATAGCCTCTTTGAGTCGTTCTCACAATCATTTAACGCCTAATCAAGCCTTTCCCGCCACGGCGCCAAGCACCATTCGATAACTACGGAGTATTACTAGTCAGGTCATTCACTATCCGGACCTTGTCCGAGAAAGAGGGTGTGTTAAAGTCAACTGCAACTCATCGGGAAGCCGGTACGAGCAACCGCCGATTATCGATAAGAGCTTCGTGGGATGCACCCCGGTTGTGAGTTGTGAACTGCGGCTTGAGACACTTCAACTAAACTCAACTCAATCACTTGTCTCTACACACCGTCAAGACAGAATCAAAACTCCAAGAGACATTCACAATGGATTCAACAATCCAAGATGCCCGTCCCTCAGTGAAACTCACCCAGGGAACCGTCATCGGCACAGTCGTGTCAGACAGTCTCCCCCGGCCAGTCGAAGCCTTCAAGGGTATTCCGTATGCGCTCCCGCCAACAGGAGATCGCAGGTTCCGCGCACCGGTCAAAGTCCAACCCTCAACAAAGGAAATCGACGCCTCGAAATGGGGTCCCGTCGCACCGGGTAAGCAACTCTTCCCAGGCGGTCCAGCGTTTGAGTACAGCGAGGACTGCTTAACCGCCAACGTCTTCCGGCCCGTCTCGTCGTCTCAAAATGAGACACTACTGCCCGTTGCCGTGTACATCCATGGCGGCGCATTTAACAGAGGCACCGCCATGATGCACAACACGGCTTCGTTCCTGGCCAACTCGGGACAGGCTTTTATTGCAGTTTCCTTCAACTATCGAATCGGAGCTCTCGGTTTCCTGCCATCCACTAAGAGTTTCGAGGAGGGTTCTGTGAATCTCGGTTTGAAAGATCAACTCATTCTCCTCGAGTGGGTTCGCGACAACATCACGGCATTCGGCGGAGACCCCAACAACGTCACCCTCTTTGGCATCTCCGCCGGAGCACACTCTGTAAGTCCTCACAGTGACCTTCCTTTCTACCATGAAAGGGAAGACTCAAGTCTGACAAACAATCCCAGATCGGCCACATCCTCATCAACGACGAAGGCCAATACAACCCACCCCTCTTCCACAAAGTCATCCTCGAGTCCGGCGCCCCAACATCCCGCGCAGTCCGCCCCTACAGCGCCCCCATTCACGAAGCCCAGTTCGCAGACTTCCTCGCAGAGACAGGCTGCCCGCCAGACCTCTCCGCCGCCGAGACCTTCGCCTACCTCCGCGCCGCGCCCACCGAGGTCGTCCAAAAGGCCCAAATCGCAGTCTTTGACAAGTATAACCCGTCCCTCCGCTGGGCCTTCCAGCCCGTCGTCGACGGCGACATCATCCCCCGCCCGCCAATGGAATCCTGGCGCCTCAACAAGTGGCGCAAAGTCCCCATCATGACGGGCTTCAACCGCAACGAAGGCTCCATCTACATCTCCAAAAAGGTTTCCAAATCTGACGAATTCACCTCCTTCTTTGCCGACCTGCTTCCCCTGCTCTCCAAAGAGGACGTCGAGACCATTGACAAACTCTACCCGGATCCCCTCACCATCCCAACCTCACCCTACAAGGAATCCCTCGACGGCACAGGTGCGCAATACCGCCGCCTCGAAATCGCCTACGGCCAATACGCCTACGTCGCGCCCGTCCGCCAAACAGCCGACCTCGCCTCCCGCGCGGACCCGGCGCTCCCCGTCTACCTCTACCAATGGGGCCTCGAGAGCTCCCTCCTCGACCGCGCGCGCCACGGCGAGAACATGTACTACGAGGCTTGCGAGCCCGCGAAAACAAAAATCTCGCCGACGCAAAAGGAGCTGTGCTTGACGCTGAACGCGTACCTCGCCAGCTTCATCGTGGCGGGCGATCCGAATGCCGTGCGGGGCGAGAGCGCGCCGGAGAGGCCCACGTGGGAGCGGTACGTGGCGGAGGATCCCAAGGCGTTGGTGTTTGCGGAGGAGAATAAGGAGCTTATTGGGGGCGAGGCGGGGGTTCCGGCGCGGTTGTGTGCCGATACTTGGGCGAGGAAGGAGTCGGAGTTTTGGTGGACAAAGGTTGATGTGTCGCAGCAATGAGTGCGTCGTTGAGTAGAAATAAAAAAGTAAAAGCCTTGACGATAAATACTCCATGAGCCAGCCTTTCAATTTCCTGGTGTTGATGTATGACCACAACTGTTGAGAGTCTAGGTACTCACGGCACAAGAGCTTCTTACTCAAAGCCGAGACCGATACTGATACTTCGCAATCACCAATCTCGCACATGTAATTGGACAAGGCCGAGACTATTGATTGAGCTCATGAGTCTTTGTTTACTGAGGCGTGGCTGGAGAGCTGACTCGAAAATTGAGACTGGATCAAGACCATTGAGTGGCGCTCGAATACCCTGTAACGCAGACTAGGAGCATGAGTTAAGGTCAATCTATAGGTCCATGTGGCATAAATATATACCGAGTCGGAATATCCGTTGGGGTGCTTGATACTATTGATCCGTAGGCTTCTTCGTCGTGTTGCTATCGTGGGAACGGCCTTCCCCTATCTCACTACCTCACATTGCTATTAGATGTGAACTTTAACGGAAAGTCCTAGCGATGGAGCTTATCAGGTATTAACAGAGTTCAGATGAAAGCATGGCTAGATGATTGTCTCAGTTAGATACTTTTTCTTCCCATGCCGGATGGGGAACATGGTATACCGTTGTTTTGAGTCCTGAGAATAAACGCAATCATCGCCACTTTGTACGCATTTGAAAAGCAAGAATAAAAGACCAAGTTAATTCACCAAACAACACCACAACATAATTCCGCGCGGTTTTCTACATAAATCTGTTCAGGCAATTATCTAGTATCTAACTCAGTATTAAAAAATAGTTGTTCTGCGTCCGTTCCTCAAATGACCCCAATGAGGCTGCAGGCCCTTCTCCAGAGCCTCACCACCAACCTCCACCCAAGTTGACCATCACCACTCCGGCAAGATAACACATGCGACCACACCCACTGGAGAACTCGGGATCCCGTCCGCTCTCCCATCGATAAACCAGTGAGGGCCGGAGTAGTAGTCGGGTCGGAGACGACCGGCGAATGCCCGGTGTTGCATGTACTTTTGCCTTTTGCCGTCTTCGGACACTCACGCGTGAACTGAATGACGGTATCTACCAGCTCCCAACTCTGCTAAAGCTCCCAGCAATCTTCATCTCACCCTTGGCCTCCCGACTCGCCTCACTGTATTCAACGAGCTTGAGCGGGCGATACTCGGGCGACCACATCTGCTCCCGGATCCACTCGTCCAAGTCCTCGTCCCCCTCCGGGATCCCCTCCTCCGTCGCCACGCCCTCCTTGACGGCCGCCTTGATCACCGCCCGCGCGACCCTCACACTGACGTCCCTGACGACATCTACACCCGGCAGCAGCGGCGCCGTCTGGTCTTTGAGTGCGGGGCTGAGTGACGCGACGCCCTCCACAGCCGCAACGAGCATCTTGTCCGTCACCAGGCTCGCCCGGCAAAGCACGGAGCCGAGGCCGATGCCCGGGAAGACGACAGAGTTGTTGCACTCCGCGACTTCGATCTCAATCTCTTTCCCGCCTTCGCCCCAGGGGCCCTTGACCGGTTTGAAAGGGGAACCTGTCGCGACGAGAGCCTTGCCGTCGGTCCATTTGTAGATGTCCTCTGGCACGGCCTCATGGAGACGAGTTGGGTTGGAGAGAGGGAGGATGATGGGCCGCTCAACGCCGTCTGCCATGGCACGGACGATTTCTTCCGTAAAAGCCTTGGGCTTGGTCGAAGTCCCGATGAGGACATTGGGCTTGACACTCTGAATGACCGAAAGGAGAGACGCGTCCTTGTCCTTCCAGTCTGAAGGGTCCTTGGCGAAGCCCTTTTGGGCTGCGGATACCTCGCTATCTGTGGTCAAGAGACCGGGCTTGTCGATCAACCTGTGTCTCTATTAGCCGGAATGGTGCAGTTTGTAAGGTTTGCGGGTATATACGCACCAGATCTGCTTGGAAGCATCCTCCTTACTCATGTTTCCTTCGGCGGCAATGGCGTCTCTGACCTGGTCCGCAATTCCGACACCAGCTGAGCCAGCACCAAAGATGACCAGGCGCAGGTCAGTGAGCTTCTGCTTACTGACGTGTAGAGCAGCCGTGATTGCCGCCAAAGTTACGCATCCCGTTCCCTGCACATCGTCATTAAAGCACGGGATATGGGGGCGGTATTGATCCAAAATTCTTCTGGCTAGTATTCCATCGCATATCAGCAGGGGCCCCCATCCAAACAGAACCACCATACTTGCCATTGGTGAGACCAAAGTCCTCGAAGTGGATGTAAGCGCGAGGATACAGCCTCCTGGCAGCCTTGACGAACTCGTCAACGAAGCGATCATACTTGTGTCCCCGCACACGCTTCTGTCTGAGTCCCAGATACAGATCATCGTTCAAGAGCTCCTCGTTATCAGTGCCGCAGTCGAGCACCACAGGCAGTGTTCGATTGGGATGAACACCAGCGCACAGGGTTGTGAGGACGAGCTTCGCCACGGAGATCAAAACACCACCGACACCCTGGTCTCCGATACCCAGGATCTCTTCACCATCTGGTGTAGCTAGTCAGCGGATCATTCGGGCATAACAGATTCGGAAGACAAGGTGGCATAGGCGGGGACGGGGTACATGCCGGTAACCACAATGTAGTCGATATCCTCTGGTCGCCCCCATTGGGCGAGGTCGTGATAGACCCGATCTACATCATTAATGTTCAAAAAACAGCCGTCAGGTCTTCTGAACAGTCTCGAAAAGTTCTGAATCGCATCTCCCTCGGTTGGCGTGTACACGATGCTGAACATTTCCGGAAGATGCTCTTGTAACAACTACGCACCAGTCTCAGATCACTTATGCTTCAACATCTGGTAACATTCAAATACATACCCGATAGTACAAGACCTCATTCTGCTCCTTCAGCGACGTCAAAAAGGTATTCTTGGCCAGGTCATCTTGGCGGCTTTTGTACTGCTCATAGGCGCGGTGCAGCTGCTGTTCGAGGGAATGAATGCTCTGGGGAAGCAGACCGGTCAGGTTGAACTCGCGGCGCTCGTCATCAGGGAAGGCTGTTCCCTTGTTGAGATAAGGTGTATTGAGCAGCGCGCTGCCCGTGACGGCGCAGCTGATGGGGCCGCTGGTGCTCAGAGGCAGATGGGAGAACTTGGACTCCTTGCGGTCCTTGGTGGGAGCCATGGTGTGAGATAGACGGGGTAAACGGGAGCGGCGGGTGGTGATGATATTCCGAAGAGGGTTCACGATGATTCTGGGTGGCATCGAATGATGATGAACTCGAGTGAGGGTAAAAATACGTAGAACACAGACCTGGAGCTTTGCACAGTCAGGCTTATGAGTGTGTTTAAGTGGGAGTCGAGATGGTCTGATGAGAAGCACATGCAAGCAGCAGAGACGGGAAGTCGTGATAAGATGTCGACGTCGCCGTCCACTTTGGATTTCAATATGTACATTTTCCTTGGCACAGAAACGCTAAAGAACAGCTACGTACCTCACGTTCGGGAAAAAGGGGGGTAACGTGAGGTATCGAGGTATCTCAGAGGAGGAGAGGAAAGAGCGGCTTGATGGCGTTGCCGTCCTGCCGTTTGTGAGCGCTGACTGCCAGGTGACGTCAGGCCTTTCTTTGTGGTGAATGGTGACAGCAACTTGAGTAAGTGCGTGAGGTGGGGGAGGTGCAACTTCCATTGCATGTCGGTGGCCCGAAAGGGTGGAGGAAAACACCGGAGACGACCGGGACTCGGCCGGTGTGAATGTGACCTTTTGGCTCGAATCCATGATTCTTGCCAACGTTAGGAATGCACTGATGAGCTCGTCTTGTTGACTGAGAGGCTTGATTGAGGGTGTGGAGCAGGTACTTTGCTGGGACATTCAGCACTTTGGAGCCATCCAAGTCATTTGGGCAACATGGACGCGGATGGCAAGTAGCACTTTGAACCGGCAATGCTCTCAATTCAAATCATGCAAAACAAACAGTCACAACAAAATCTGTCGGTACGCCTGGAGCCTCGCCCATGTAGGAAAAAAGATGGGCATGGACTATGATGGTCCTGTTTTTCTTGCAGCTCGGTAAAAATCGAGAGGAAAAAAGACGTAAACGCCCCTTCACCCCTCGATTTTCACCGCTCAAAAAGTGTATTTCCAGTCCTCTCCAGAGTGTACCGCAAAACGCGGCACAAGAAGGAGACCCTCGCCGAAGCAAAGACTCGTGAATAATTCAAGTGACTGGGTAGACGCTGCTGTAAGGTAGGCAAGGATGATTAAAGCTATCCTTCCTGTTTCGTTTGGCTTCACACCACTTTCATGCTTTGACGCGATGGACACCGCAACAGAGCACAGGGAGGCAAAACATAATGCCCATTCTCGTAGAAGTTCGAGACCATCCCTGTATGACTCACTTGAGCCGTTTGCTTTTGTTGCGCTGCCTGTCTTTGCAAAATGTGGTGTTCGGCCGGTGAGTTTGATCAAGTGAAGGATACGGAGGGAAGGAAATTTTCTTCTCAAATCTTACGTTGCAGCTTTTAGATTATGTAATACGCACCCGTGAGAGAATCCGATGTGGGGACTCGGGGGAGGTGCCAAGCTCATAGAGCAGCTGGTGCCGGCTGGTGCGTTCCGCGCCCGTGTAAGTCGGTCTTGGTGACCAACTTCAAAGCCATAGACTTCAATACTTTGACTGAAGCAAAATGAGATTCTATTGGCCAATGTATATGATGCTGGTTGCCAAGTATTGTATAGGAGTCATTTCAACAATGTCAGGAGTCAACGCGGTGTCGACAGTGCGACTATCTTAGGTGTCTGAGCTTAGCACGTTCTATCATGAGGCTACAGCGTTGCAAATGAACATATACATCTATTGGCTTTCTCATCAATGGTTTTATCCGATGGCCATCAACCATACGCCACATTGAAGCAGATATTGACGTCGAGCTGTTGGTGACCCAAGAACACATTTGGCGTACGATTCAAGCATTCGGCACACAAAGAGGCAAGAACGTGAACACTAGTGGTGCCATTCGTATAATGATAATGATTGTTCAATAATGTTGATAAAGAAAACGGTATACCCGAACACCTAGATAAATTCATACAGTCACTGCTATCCGATGCTGGCTTAGATGAGACCAGCCCGGGCAGCCTCGCCACCACCATCCTGAACGAGTTCGTCCATGCGCCTCTTGCCCTTTCCAATGCCTCCCTCACCAACACCCATTCTTCTGGCAACATACCTCTGTGCCACGACACCCACAGCCAGACTCAACAGCTCTTCGATCCACTCGGCGACCCACTCGCGGGGGTCGACACCACCGCCCTCGACAATTTCTCGAATCTCATCCGGGATGGATTGACCCAGAGAGCCCTCCTGGCCATCATCACCGCTGGCAGGAGTCAGCGGGTTGGCGGCGTCCAACCAGCGGATCCACTTGGCCGGGATGGACTGGCTGATGGCCGAGTACTCAATCTCGTGGACGGGGTCGAGGCAGAAGACGGCGAAGCAAACCATCTCATCTGCCTCATCCTGTTCGGCCACGGCCGAAGTCTCCTTCTCCTTCTCCACAGCCGACGTACTGGCAAAGAGACCCGAGTCGGCTGTGGTACCCACAGCCTGGATGGCAAGGAAGAGGTCGGAGCTGCGGACCGGGTTGTCTTCGCTCACCGGCTCAGTCGCACGTAGCCGAGCCTGCTCAACACCGCCGTGGGCTGCAAAGTACTCGCTGGCGTAACCCTCGGCTCCAGCACGGCAGAGCTTGGTGCCCTCGGTCAGACCCTTGATCAGACCCAGGTCACGCGGGGAGTCGGATTGTCTCCACCAAGGACCGTCCCTCCAGCCCGCGCCACTGTCATTGGAGTATCTGCGGCTGTGGGTTTCTTGGCCTCGCTGAATGACCATCAACTCGCCGCCCTCCACCTGGGACATGACGCGGGAGAAGGTGCCGTAGATCAATGGATCGAGGGAAGGGTACCCGACCATATCGTGGGCGATGTGAATGAGGAGTCTCTCGTGAGAGCTGATGGGAGGGGCAATGGTGTGGAGGATATTCGTGAATGTCGGAAGAGCTTGCTGGCGAAGGTTGTCTCCTGTAAAGGTAGTGTTAAAACCTACTTGTCCCCTCTATACCAACGCGCGTGGGTTGCGTTTAGGAGATGGCAAAACCAGCTTGTGAACTTACCAAGAGCCCTGAGGCCACCAACGTTTCCACGGACTTGTTCGGCCCATTTCTTGGCTTCCTCGTTCTTCTGAATCTCCTTCACAGCAGCCTCGGCCTGCTTCATGGCGGCAGTGGCCGTGTTGAAGATGCCACCCCACCAACCACCTCCAGCAGCCGCAGCGGGCGCGGCTTCGGGAGAAGCAGCTGATGAGGAGGCAGTGGCAAGCTGTTCAGCAGGCCTCTTCTCGGGTTCTTGCAGGTCGGAGCTTGTGGCACTGGGGGTGAAGCTCGCGCGGAGAGATCGTGCGCTGTCGGTAGACTTGCGGGGGGCAGTCGACTTGTCGTCGGTGGTGGGGGTCGCAGAGCGTTTGGGGATTCCCTTCGCTGCCGTCTCCTTAAGACGCGGCGTATGCGGACGGGAGGGTTGCTCGAGGTCCTTTTCGAGCTCGGCCAGGATGTCGTTATCGGCCATAGCCTTGGAGGCGGCGGTGGTAGGCTTGGGCTTCTTCTCGAGCGACTTCTTAGGGGGGGCAACATTGTCGCCAATTCCATCAAAGAGGTCGTCAATGTCGTCGCCAGCAGCGGCGGGCTTTGTCTTCTTGGAAGCCATGTTGGGCGGGATTGTGGTGTTGGTGATGTTGCGGGGCAGACGTCACTAGCTACAAGGTGCAACACTTTGAGGGCGGTTAGGTAGCTACAAAAGGGATGCTCGGCAAGCTTAGTCAGGCGGCGCTAGGTATCAGGACACCGTGAAACAACAGCTCGAATGGAAGGAGCAATGATTATAGCGTGGGGTTCTGAGTCCGACGGGCCAGGCCGAAGCGATCAAGGCGATATTGGTGGGTGTAACGGAGAGACACCAGCTCACTGCTCGAATGATGACGGGCGGTTATTGATGTTGACCAAGATGCAGTTGAACATTCACCTCATGTTCTCCGACTGTGAACCAAACGGGGGAGTCTGATGCACCAGCGCAGGCACGCCGCACAGCACCACACACATTGGCGACAGCTGCTGGAGACATGCATCACATTCACCAGGGACGGGACATGCATCAAGCGGAGAGAAGGAATGCGCTAGTCCGTATCCGGAGTGGACGAGAAGCGTGTCATCTCATTGGCCCTGAGTGAACGCCCATCCCCAGTCGGAAATGAAAAAAGCGTGTCTTGTGGGTCCCCGTCTGAAGTCGCCATCTGGCCGGGCTGGGTTCTCTCGTTCTTGGTCTGTCAAGGCTTACAGCGGGCTTTTAGGGGTCTTGATCAGTGGCTATAGGGGTGAGCCTGCTGTAGGTTCGCCCATAGTGACAAGCTTTAGGGAGGTCGGGCCACTAAAGGGATTTCTTCCAGCTCCCGTCATAGGTCCTGGGATGCTTGACGAGACGGGAACTTGGGGTGCAAGTCAGCCAGAGGTAGGTACGTATCCCATTCCCGAGTCCCTTCCCCCTTGGGCCCTTGTACCCACGTACCGGTTTTTCTTCCTTCCTTCCTTCCTTCCCATTGCCTTGTGGTCCAGGCGTGGCTGGCTCGGAAGGACTAACAGCCAATGCCAGTGCAGGAGCGTTCCAAAGGGGCCCAGTCGTGCCTTCCCTTTCTCTCTCCCGGCCCCTGCCAGCCAGTAACGGAACGGAAGGAAGTGGCAGCCAGCCTGAGCCAGGCCAGCAAGAGCAACAGGTGGACGTGTGTGGACGCAGACGTGGACAGGGCCCCGGCTGGCAAGGCAAAATTGAGAAATGCAAGTCAAAGTGAAGACGGGAAGGAGCCATCTCAGCAACAAGACAGGAAGGGGCCACCAACAGCACAAATCACCACCTTTTCCACCTCAGATATCTTACCCTCACGACTTCTTTGCCCTCTTGAAAATATCGTCGCTATTTTCTTTGGCTCTTTAGCTTTCTCCAGAGCGTATTTTTGTTTGCTCTAGCTATCGCGCAGACCCGTCCTGTCTGCTCTCAAATTTGACGTCTTATTTGGTATTGGCAACAGCAAGGCCCGTTTCTCTCAGCTCAGGTCTCTTTCGGTCTCGCTCACTCACACTCACCACTCACCACTCACACAACCTTTGGCTCTCACTCTCAGCTCTCAGTCGGGTGGTCCAAGTCAAGTCAAACCACCACATCACCACTTACTTGCATCAAACCCGGTTTTTTTCGCCAGCACCTTCACATTCAACCTCCCTCCCCCTACCGACAGCCTCTTACTGCCATCCGTTAAATCTACGACGAGACAAGGGTTCATTAGCTCTTCATTCACATCACATCAATATTCAGAGTAGTCGTCTCCCGTCTCATTGAATGACTTCTCGGCTTTCTCCGCCATCTTATTGCGGCTCCCCTTCTACCCCCAAATCATCTACACATCCGTCTCCGTAAGCCAGGTCACCTCTTCACCTGTTCTTACTTGGACTGCACCATCACACAACCGCTGCTCTGACAGCTATGGACCAGCGCTCTCGCGGTGGCCGTCCGAATCGCCGGAAAACTCTTCCCACTTCCAGCATCCAGTCTGATACCAGCGCAGGCGGCGAGTCAAACTCGAGCATCATGACGCGCTCTCCTCCCATTGCTGCCTCTCGCACTCCTCAGACGGCACCTCAAAATCGCCGCAACGCGAAGCCCATTCCCATGAATAACCCCTTCAGTGTCCGCTCATCTCCCAGTACGGGCGGATCCGGTCCTGGCCCTGGCAAGGCTCTTAGAAAGAGATCTCGCACCAGCGGCTTTGACGGGCCCGCAGATGAAGAAGACGAGACCTACCGCAAGGGCCCTCACACTTTGAGAAAGCGTGCGAAAATCGACTACTCCGCCGCAGACTTTGAGGATGAGCTGCCCGAGATTGCAATCCCGGCGCCTCGCACTGCTACCCGTAAGAAGCGGGCTGACAGTGAAGTCGTCGACGAGGAGTACTACACGCCCACAGCACAAAAGCGCCGCGCCAACTCGAGAGAATTTTCCGTCGCCAGTATTACCGCCGCTCGTCGTCGG